AGTCCGCTAGAGACACGATGTCTCCTTGACACACGGAGAATTTTTTTTTACCCGATGAATATCTTTCATGTTTACAAATGAATTTTTCTAAAATTTACATATATTTATTTTCAATATTAAACAACTAACGTACAACGCACGTTAACCACACTAATGTTGTAAAAAAGACCTAAGCTTCTCTAATGACTGAACACATAGCATTGTTCACGAAATATTTTAGTATTTTGGTATGCAGTCCCTGAATTTTTTTATTAGTATAATTCAATCCAGACTTGTTTGTAAGCTATCAAACAGACTTGATCAGACCTATATAATTAAATTCCAACATTAAACCACAGTCGGACACTATACATTTAATTATTAAGTGCGAAAAACTACACTATCAAGTTATATAAAATCACAAAAGTAAATATTCAACTCCCAACATTAACATCATTTCCTTAGCTTGCCAACTTGTCTTATCCCCATTGGAAGTCGAATGATTAGATGTGGGATAAAATAACCGATTTACCCTTCCAATCAATTTTCTTCAACATTTTTTGTAATGATCAAATCATATAAATTATTTGGACATCACTAAATACTTAGCTCAAATTCAAACGCCTTGGAAGAGAATACTTAAAGCAGATTATCCATGTGAGTGGATGTCAAGAAGGGTGTCAAAATCTTTCTAACAAACAAGTTTAATTAAAAAGAAAATACTTAAAGCGGATTACCCATGTGAGCTTTTATCCATGTGAGTGGATGTCAAGAAGGGTGTCAAAATCTTTCTAACAAANAGGGTGTCAAAATCTTTCTAACAAATAAGTTTAATTAAAAAGAGAATACTTAAAACGGATTACCCATGTGAGCGAATGACAAGAAGGATGTCAAAATCTTTCTGATAAATAAGTTTGACTTAAAGGAGAATATTTAAGCGAATTATTCATGTGAGTGGATGTCAAAAATAGTGTCAAAATCTTTCAAACAAACAAGTTTAATTAAACTTGTGAAGTACCATCACCACAGTCAAAACGATCAGCACACCCCATTTGGCAAAGTAGTTGAACATATAACAAGGTGTCAACTTTTATTCACATACTGGACAAATCAATTATCAATCAAAACATGACTATGCACACACATAACTCATGCTATTAGAAAACAATTCAAGGCACTTAATCATAAATATAACATCCAACAACAAAACACATCTTTTGAATTTTGAAGAATGGAAGTACCATTTCAGCTCAACCCATAAACTCATAAATATAGCATCAATTTTACCTAAAATAATAAATTGAAAAAAATAAATAAATAAACAAGGTGCAATAGTGTTTGATTGAGCGAACTACTTGTGCGATGTTTATGGAAGGAAAAACCATGTTATTAACATATTTCAATACATACAAAACAACAAACTTCACACATTAAAGCATAAAAAGGAAACTAGACTCTTGACAGAAGCCCACAGGTGCATTAGACTAAGGGATTAATCTATTTTTATATAGGTGTGTACATAATGTGATTGTAGTAGAGCCCACGACACTGTAATGTAGGCCTCACCCTCACTCACATTATGTACACGTCTATGTACCAGTAGCATTCCTCTAGCCTAAGGTAGCCAGCTACACATTATAGCCTACATCCTTCCAGGGCGGTCCACGCGCACCCGGCCACCATCATCCAACCTTCCAACGTCGTTGAAAGTTTGACCACTCATCTGGTCAGCAGGAGTCGTCACCACGTCAGGCTCCACTACCGAAGCCGTCGTCCCGGTAGGCGTCTCCTCCGTGTCAAACTCCACTACAACCGGCGTCTCCTCCACCTCCACCGCCATTACAATCGGAGTCCCCTCCTTATCCACCGCCAATCTCTCCCCCGCCTTTGGAAGGCCGGGTTCGCGTGTTTCACGGATCTCTTCTTTTGCTTCTGTTGGATGTGGAGTCAATTTATCTTTGATGGCGTCCTTTATACTGCCTAAGGCACCAAATATGACGCCGCCCTTTTCACCACTTTCTCTGTTGTATCCACATAAAAATCAAAAAAAAATATAAAAAAATATGCATAAAGTAATAAAAATGAGAGGACAATTGCAGTAAGATTTAGGAATTGCTACCTTTCCGCTTGGGCTCTACTTGTATCCTCATTCTTGTCCCTTTCTCCTTCCAGTTTCATCTCTTCCATTTTCCTTCTTGCTTCTTCCTTGGTTCCTTGGTACTTCTCCTATATTACATAATCTTCTTATAAGTTAAATCTCTCGTCTCAGCTTCAGAAAGCCAATTCAAGAAACCATAACCAAACATATACACAGACATAATGAAGTTAGCTAATTACCTTAGCTGCTTCAGTAGTCTCTTGTGTCTCCTGTTTTGCTGCTTCGGTTGTCTCTTGAGCCTTCTGCTTTGCTTCTTCAGCGGTCACTTGCGCTTTCTGTGTAGCTGCTTCACCAGTTTCTTGTGCCTTCTGCTTTGTCTCTTCTTTCTTCCCAGTCAAATAGTCCACGGCCTTCCTTGCAGCATCGGCTGCTGAATCCTTCAGTTCAGAAATTTTGCCAACGGTAGTATCCTTTCCCTCTACGGCCTTCTCTGCAGTGTAAGCCTTGTATTCCCCAGCTTTCTCCGTTGTTGTATCTTTTGCTTGCTTAGCCTCGTCTGCCGCATAGTCCTTGTATTCCCCAGCCCTTTGCACTGTCGTATCTTTTGTTTCTTTTGCTTTTTCCATTGTTGTATCCTTTGCTTGCTTAGCCTTGTCTGCTGCATAGTCTTTATATTCTCCAGCTTTCTCCATTGTTGTTTCTTTTTCTAGCTTGGCTTTGTCTGCCGCATAGTCCTCGTATTCCCTAGCCTTTTCTTCAGCACAGTCTTTGTATTCACCTGCTTTCCCCACAGCAGAATCCTTAGTCTCTTTCGCCTTCTCTGCTGCATAGTCTTTGTATTCACCAGCTTTTTCCAGCGTAGCATCCTTCGTCTCCTTGGCCTTCTGTGCAGCATAATCTGTATATTCCCCTGCCTTCTCCATTGTAGAATCCTTGGTCTCCTTTGCCTTCTCTGCAGCATAATCTTTGTTTTCACCAGCTTTTCCCAAGGTAGTATCCTTAGTCTCTTTCGCCTTCTCTGCTGCATAGTCTTTGTATTCACCAGCTTTTTCCAGCGTAGCATCCTTCGTCTCCTTGGCCTTCTGTGCAGCATAATCTGCATATTCCCCTGCCTTCTCCATTGTAGAATCCTTGGTCTCCTTTGCCTTCTCTGCAGCATAATCTTTGTATTCACCAGCTTTTCCCAAAGTAGTATCCTCCGCCTCCTTGGCCTTCTCAGCTGCTTCTTTTGCCTTCTCAGCAGCATTATCTTTGTACTCGCCGGCTTTTCCCAGAGTAGTATCCTTCGTCTCTTTCGCCTTCTGTGCAGCATAATCTGTATATTCTCCTGCCATCTCCATTGTAGAATCCTTAGTCTCCTTCGCCTTATCAGTAGCTTGTTTCGCCTTCTCAGCCGCAGAATCCTTGGTCTCTTCAGCCTTCTCCCCCATGTGATCCTTATATTCTCCCATCTCCTGCGCCGCCGAATCTTTATATTCCCCCACATTTTCTGCAGCTTCCTCCGCCGTCTCTCGAGTCCTCTCGGCAGTTTCATGGGACTTGCCCAGAACAGCCTCCTTAGCATGCTCAACTGTCCCTTGGACTGTTCTCAAAATGCTCCCGATAACACCAGGACCCTTCTGTTCATACCCTTCTGTGGTATCTATCTCGGGCTCGTACTCAAATTCCATTTTAGCGACTTCTTCTCTCTCTCTTCTCTCTCTGTTCACATCACTAAGCTCGGCCGTTGCAATTCTTGCATCTTGCTCAGCTCTTTCTTCTTTCGTTGCTTGCCTTGAAGCCATTTTTTGCCAATTCTATACACTCAAAAACTCTCTGGAAACATTAAAATTGAAAGTATCACTTCATAAATCAATCAAATCAAAATGTGATGAAAATTGTTGTGAATTGTGCTGTAACGATGTCCGGATTGAGCGAGAGGGAGAGAAATATAGGAAAATCTTAAGTGACACCTGTGATTGTTGAATGTGCCCAACAATGACACGTGTCATGCATGCAAGACAGTACGAAGGATTAGATGCATCGATTCGGATCAAAACCATGGGCGGTGATCGGTGGGCTTATCTCTGACGTTGCCGCCGGAACTTGAAATTAGTCGTTTTATGCGGCGAGTGTTGAGTTGTGAAAATACAAGGAGATTATAATGAGCTAGGTAATGAAAATTTATGAATAATAAGTGAATAAAAATTATGAATGCCCAATAAAAATAAAAGTTCTACTAATAATAAAATCCAAACACACACTAATATACTACAAAAATTAAACTTAATTGTCAATTATTTTCTTTTAAATTTAGTGAAAAATTAAAATAATTAAATTTTACACGTTCAATGCTAGTTTGAAATAAATTTGGAAAATACACTACAAAATGTCAGTACTTCAATATCCAAAATTAACAACATAATTGTACACATAAAGAATCAGTCAAATTAATAAAAGAAATATTAAGTGAGATTGGAAATATATTCTCAAACATCAGTAAAATGAGGAGTTAATTATTTCAACGATCACTGAACTTTACAAAAT